GGGGGGGTCCTCAAGGGGTTCCAGGAAGGGGTAGGAGGGGTTGGAGGGGTCGGGACCCTCCTGGGAGGGGTCCCCAAGGGTTTCCAGGAAGGGGTAGGAGGGGTAGGAGGGGTTGGAGGGGTCGGGACCCTCCTCAGGGGGCTCCTCAGGGTGGTCCTCGGGGGTCTCCTCTTGGGGGTCCCCAGGGGGGTCCCGGGGGGGTTCCCACCTCACGCTGCGACCGTCGGGGGCCACCACGAGCTGCGGGTGGGCCGTGGAGGGGTCCAGGGTCACCAGAACTGCCGGGGGGGGGGAACAAGAGAGGGATGTTCCCGAGGGAACCTCCCGGATCGTCCTCGGGGGCATCTTCGACCACCCCCATCCCGCTCCTCCGGCGCTTCCCGGGAAGGATTCCCTGATTCCTCAGGAAGTTTTTCCCTCCCAGAGAGGATTCCCTGAGTCCTCGGGGAGGTTTTCCCTCCCGGGAAGGATTCCCTGATTCCTCGGGGAGTTTTTCCCTCCCAGAGAGGATTCCCTGATTCCTCAGGAAGTTTTTCCCTCCCAGAGAGGATTCCCTGATTCCTCAGAGATCCAAACTTACTCTTTTCAGGCAGCTCGAACATCAGGATGTCTGGAAAGGGGGAGGGCAGAGACACGTTAATTGATGTCGGATTTATTAATTGGTGAGTCGTCAATAATTTTAATTGGTGTAATTAGCAGGGAGCAGAGGCGCTGTTCTGCCACCCTGAGGTCATGAATGTAATTGCGATATCATTGCGATAAAATAAAATTGTAATGAAATAATTTCCTGCCATAAAATGCAGGAAATTAAATAAATAAAATATACCTTATAAATATAAATACACCTTATCAACAAAATTACAATAAAATACACCCTAAGTAAATAATATAATTTAATGCCACACCCCTCTATAACAAACATAATAAACACATAAAATTCCATCTAATTCATATAAAAATACAATATAATCCCCACGATACCTTGGAAGCTCCTCAGGGTCTCCTCCAGGACCAGGTTTTTCTCCCCGAATTTGCTGATTTTCTTTTCCAGCTCTGGAAGAGGTGACGGGGGCAGCTGGAATTGTTCATTTTGGAACCTTGGGGAGGACGGAGGGAGGAGTTTGGGGGAGCCCGAGGAACCCCCTGACCCCAAACCCCGAATGTTTTTGGGCCTCTGAGGGAGGAGAAACACGAGATCCGAGCCCCAGATCCCAGCCTGGAAAAGTCGGGAATTCCCGCCCGTGCCTGCTCAGGGTGCTGCCGATGTCCTGGAAAGGGAGAGAGAGGGAAGAGGGAATTCAGGGAATGGGGCTTGGAATCAGGGGAAGGTTGAAATGGGAGGAGATTCCCGAGGCCACGGGATGGATTCAGGGAAACGTTAAAATTGGAGATTCCCAAGGAAACGGGACGGATTCAAGGAGGAGATTCCCGAGGCCGTGGGGTGGATTCCCAGCTCCATCCCCTTTCCCTCTCACCCGCAGGAAGGTCCTGGAGGGTTCCCGACATTTCTCCTCCAGCTCCCGGATCCGGGTTTCCAGGCGGGAGATCTCCTGGGTCAGGCTCGTCAGGTTTTCCTCCTGCTCCTTTTCCAGGTCCTTTTCCAGGTCCCGGAGCCGGGCCAGGAGCCCCCGGGCGTGATCCTCCAGGGACACCCGGAGCCCTTGGAAGTGGGAGAGGATCCTCTGCCGCTCGCATTCCGTCTTTTCCTGCGGGAACGGGATTTGGCCCTCGGGGAGGGAACCCCAAGCCCAGGGATGACCCCCCCCCCCCCAAATCCAACATGAGAAACCCACCCCCCATATTCCCGAAAGCGGCGAGATCCCGAAATTCCCGAGGAATCGAATCCCAACCCTCCCTCCGCGGGGAAGATTTACCAAACACTCCCAGTTCCTCCTCATTTCGGCCTCCCGGAATTCCAGGAGTTTGTCCCTGGCTTCCCTCAGGGTTTGCAGCCGGGCCTGGAGTTGTGCCTGAGGGGGGAGGGAAAAGAAGGAAAGGCCTCGTTTCTCTGGAGATTTGGGACAGCTCCCAAAAAAAACCCACCCTGGGAAGGGGGTTCCACTCCAGGACCAGGAAAAAAATTCCCTTTTTTGTGGTTGCCCAGATTCCCACTGGTTTAGGGGTGAAGCACCGGAGGCTGAAAGAGGTTGGAGACCTAAATCCCTCCAGGAACAGGGAGAGGAGGGTCTGGGAATTCTGGGAGCGGGGATGGATCCTGGTTTTCAGCCCAGGAGGTGGGAGCGGGTCGAGCCTGGAGCTGAGGGGAGGCGAATTCCCAGGAATTTGGGGGTTCCCCTCCCGCCCCCCTTCTCAGCTCCCCCTCCTCGGGACCCGTTTTGTGTCGAGGGAGAAGGGACAGAATGGAAAAATCCGGGCTGGGAAAGCCCCAGGGATGGATCAGGAGTCCAACAGGGGTGGATCAGGAATCCAACCACAGATGGACCAGGAATCCAACCAGGGATGGATCAGGAATCCAAACATGAATCAGGAGTCCA